ATTATATTATATTATATTATATTATATTATATTATATTATATTATATTATATTAGTTTCAACTCTTAGATCTTGCTATAAGGTCTTATAAATCTCCTAAAATTCATTTAGCACATCAATATTTCAAATACATACATACATTGAGAGCAAATACAAAGTTTTAACTACAACTGTGATTGGAGTTTACTGCACACGCTGCTGTACGCAAATAATGAGCCAGTTGTCCAGCAGATTAACCCAATCGTCAGCAACGCTCGCATAATAATGCGTATGAGGAAATTAGAAGAGGACATTGCTGTATCCGACGCACAAGGGACAGACCGGCAACCACACAAAAGGATTCCAATGTCCTGGAAATTAAATCCATAAAAATGATTACACATGCGACGCATACACACAACCTAGTTGGCCATTGTCAGAAGTTGTGGTTTACATATTTATTATTTTAAGCATTGTCCGACTCTACGGAAATTATCAGCCTTGTGCGTTTGGGTATAAAAAGTAAAGATAAGCCCAACGACTGCAAATAAATCGAAACAAATAATGTTGCTGCTGGCTAATTGCAGCATCTAGCCCCGCCTCAGAGAATCGCATTGAAAGCCCGTCGGACACAAGCAACATGAGATACATTTGCAAAGCAAATGGTCTCCAACGTCCCCCAGACTCAGAGACAATCGCTGGCTGGTCAGTCGGCAGTCATGCAACATGCTGTCGAACATATCCGTCATGCTGTTTCGCTGGCTTCCGTTGTGCAATGTCGCCAGTGAGGACAACAGGTGGCAGCTGCTGGCACGATAATGTGTGGCATAATGGGGTTTGGGTCGGGGGTTGAGGACATACATACATGTTGGTAGTCATAAAGGCGAACTCGAGCCGTTGTTTGTGCCGCGCAAACTTTCTGTCAGCTGTCATCAATGCAGACGCACAAAAGCAACATGAGTTTGTCGTGAATTTATGTATATTGTTCAGACTAAAAAGGGAATAGAGCGCAACACGGGATGCAAATGAAATAATTCCAATTCATGGGTTTAAATGAAATATAACGTTTTATTTATTTCCGAATTATTTTTTATAATTTATAAAAAAAAGAAAAACAACTGCAACTCTGCAAAGGCCCCGGCGAGATTCGAATATTTGTATTTGTCAAAGCTTGTTAAGATTGTCAGCGGGAATGCACCGCCTTTGTGGTATATGCTTTAAATATATACATCTCAAAATGTATAAAAGAGCAGAAATCCGTGGTGGAGAACATCAGAGATACTTGAATCGCTGAAGCATTAACAATTATCAAATTTTTAAATCATTCAAAAATGGAAAAAAGTGCCGGAGTTAATGTGACGAACGACAGCATTAGCGTTAAGGGAGCCGTGAACCGGTAAGTGGCTCAAGCATTTTACTAAGTAAAACCACTCACATGTTGCTCATTCAATTGACAGCGATGGCCATGGCCTATCAGTGGAGCATGTTCAAACCCGGGGATCTGGCAGAACCACAACGGTAGCGGGTCAAGCGAACATCTTCAAGAATGAGAAGGCTGAGATGAATGCCTCTGCCTACCACACTCGCAATCGGACTCACGATCAATTTGGCGGTGGCATGGATATAAGCACCGCCACAGGCCATTCAGCGTCATTGGGTGTTCACCATGTGCCATGTGTTTAATATGACTTCCGTGAATGCCAGTGGCAGTGCCAATCTCTACTCTTCGCCCGATGGCAAACTAAACGTGGCTGCCACAGCAAACGCAATGCGCCACACCAGCGGACCCTTCAGGGGTAAATCCGATATGGGGTACGGTTTGAACATGCAATATAAATTTTAGAATGCCAAATGTCAAAAGTTGTAAAAATATACATATGCATTCAATATTGAAATAATAAATATATTAAAGAATAAAAATATTCTTGTTGTGTGTATCTGGCTTTCCTACTTATACAGCCATTTAATAATGAGCTAACGAAAGATTTCATCAAGATACAGAAATTATTGATGATTTTAAAGTAAATAGACTTCTAGTTTCCAAGTATCGTTGTGTATTGTAATACTATTGTATCCAGTTTATGCATTGTAATATTATAAATACCACCACTCACGCTCTATTGTGGATCATCCTGCGAGTAAAACATGTTTATCTTGTGGCTCGGCATTTGCATATCAAAGTCATTTTGGGGCAAGCCGATAATGTCCCAAGTGGCAATGCGATTATGACCATAATTACACGTCATTACAGGGCGCTCTGTTATTCTGCGGTTGCTGCCTCGACTACTCTGAGTTCACCAATAATATTGACGTGGTCTCTTTTATTGTGGTTACTTACGACGAAAGTCTACCTGGGACTTAGCTCGGAATCCGCAGCTGACATGACTGGGCTTCTTGACTTTGCCGCATCAGATTCTTGTAATTTTTATGGCTTAGTTGTGCGGCGCCTGCAAATATGCAAAGTGTTTCGTATAAAGCGCGTTATTTATGTTTCGCGACGGCGACCCGGCAAAATCCGACGCCAAAATTAATAACCCAGCGTGTCTATGCGATGCCTCCATGAGTATGAGTGTGCGAGTGTGTTCGAGTGTGTATGGGTGAGTCTTAAATTTTCATGATTCGCATTATTATGACCAAATTATACCTTACACATTACCTTATAAAACTGTTGCGACTTTGCCTCTGCCCAAATTCGAACCAATTTTTATGTAAAGCAATTTATTTTGAATTATTTTTATGGCACTTCACGATGCGCTTGGCCACATTACGAATATGCGCCCAGACGCGGACACAGACAGTGAATGGCAGTGGTTGACTGAACAGAATTACCGAGGCTGTATCGATATATTTCATGATCTGCATTGGGTGTATTATATAGTATATGTTAATATTTCTGAAAGGCAGATAAAAGAATTCTTAATGCTCAAAATTGTTTAATCAATAATGTCAATAAAAAGATTTAATTGAAGATATAATTAAAGTTCCAAGTTTAATCAAACATAATCATCTTTATGCCAAACACTTATATTTATCCTATTAGATTTAGATCAAGGAATATATATATATTACGACATGAATCTATTTATTCATTACATTAATATAGTAAGTTGTGAGATGTTTTTTTTTTTTTTCAAATAAAAAATGTATTAAAAATTGAAAAAAGACCCTCAAAAAAGTACTATCTAGATGAGTAAGTTTGACAATCCGACAAGGTACTCAATTCTTAATGTTAAGACCCCATCAACGCCTAGAATATTATATTCCCAAGTCCCCGCTACATCAACCTCTAACTAATTAATTTTATAATTTATTATAAATTTATTTGAAATATAAATATTTATAATATCCTATGCTAAAGAATTCATTTAAACCATCAAACTTTGCATAAGGGTTGCAGCTCTGCTAATAACAGTTGCTTTGGCAACAATATTACGTTTCTATAACGACTCCCGGCTCTGTTATAATGTCTCAGTGCAACTAGAGAATGCTTTTATAAAGCACAAAGCTACATAGCTGTTCGATGGATTTTAGCTATTGCGAATTTCCCAGCACCGTCTCTATAGACACTTTCAAGGCCTATTTCAATCCCAATGATGTCAAGTTGCTCAGTGTCAACAGTAAATCATTGGACCAATGCCAGCCCGAGACCGACGAAGGCCAAGCAAATCAGGCGAAAAGTCTGCGACATCTTGTGCTCGACGCCATCGTAAGCAATTGGAGCGGTAAGAGGCCGACATTCGAAATACGCAATCCGAGATGACAACCGTCTCTGACTATTGTTTCCAGAACTGCCGCTGTACCGTCAGCTGAGGCGTCGGCAGGACCGTAACTATATACTCACCCAGTTGGATACGCAGCTACCGCTGCAGTTGCTCAGCTCTCACATACGGGACGACTACTTCTGGCGACGCTGCTACGAGGTGCGTTGGCGCATGGCACCCTTCCAGGCGCGCGGCAGAGAAAGACACTGGATTAACATTTACATGGAGCGACATGTGCAGGAGTTTATTGAAAATATGCAAACCGGCGACTACGAGCAGGATGGTAATGTGCAAGCCGCCTTGGACATCTGTGCGTCGTACATAAATCAATTGGAGATAAATCGGCTACAGCCCGCCCCGCCGGGCAGTGAGAGCAATGGTGAGTGAGCTCCTGTTGATTACTGGAGATTGTATACCCTTACCTGATGAATGATGGCTGATAACTGGTGAATTTTTGATAACTGATGATATGACTGATGACAGATGGTTGATCATGACTGATGACTGATTACTGATGACTGATGACTGATGACTGATGACTGATGACTGATGACTGATGACTGATG